CAAAGGCCTCTCAAAAGTTTTCTTTAGCACCACAACTCAAAAGTGTTGATTCTGTGATACTCATCTTTCTTTATAGTCAAATTCTCAGAAATATACATTGCTACTGGGAAAAAAACCCATCGCTTTGACTATATGGTCTTTTGTCAGCAAGGTGATGTCTCTGCTTTTTAGATTGCTGTCCAGATTTGCCATAGCTTTTCTTTCAAGGAGTAAGCACCTTGTAATTTCATGGCTGCAGGTGAAACCTGCAATGATTTTTAAGCCCAAGAATATAATATCTGACACTGCTTCCATTTTTCTCCCTCTATTTGCCAGGATGGTATGGGACCAGTTGCCATGATCTTAGTGGATTTTTTTTTAAGCTTCAAGCTAGCTTTTACCTTTTCACCCTCATCAAGTGGCTTCTTCATTCTTCTTCACTTTCTGCTATCAGATTTGATATCAACTACATATCTGAGATTATTGATATTTCTCCCAGCAACCTTGATTTCAGCTTTTGATTTATTCAGACTGGCATTTTGCATGATGTGCTCTGTATATAAGTTATATAAATAAGGTGACAGGATACAGCCTTGTCATACTCCTTTTACAATCTTACACCAATCATTTGTTCCAGGTTCATTTCTAACTGTTGTTTCCTGGCCTGCATACAGTTTCCTCAGAAGATAAGTAAGATGATCTGGTACTCCCATCTCTTTGAGGACTTGCCACATTTTGTTGTGATCCACACAGTCAAAGGCTTTAGTGTAGAATTCTATTTCTTTGCATTGCTTATTCAAGAAAACTGTCTTATCTCTCTGCTATTCTCTGGAATTCTGCATTCAGTTGGGGACATCTTTCCCTTTCTCCCTTACCTTTCACTTTCCTTCTTTCCTCAGCTAATTTGTAAAACCTCATCAGACAGCCATTTTGCTTTCTTGCTCTTCTTTTTCTTTGGAATTTTTTTTTTCTGTGAAAAGAGTCAAGAAGACTTGGTTTCAAGTCCTGTTTTTTTGACACAAGTTAGCGTTGTCATGGGCTTGTCACTTAATCTCTTTGGGCCTTAGGCCACAACATTCTAAGAGCTAAGCAATGAATGAGTTACTGACTATACTGATAGAAGGAACTTCTATCACAAGGACTTCTCTCACACTGATGAAATCTACAGTCCCCACCAAAACCTAATGGAGTAGAAATTTCAAATACTTCAAAGGATTTCTTCCCTCCTAACAATACAGATGCCAATTCCTCTACACCTTAGTATATGATTTTCGTGAGTTGTTGTGACCAAAGTTTGCAATACTGTAGCTGCACTCTCCAATGATAAGTCTCTCCTCAGTTATTTAGCGAAAAATTCTTTTTGGATTTGAACAACTTAATTTGTGTAAATGAACAAAAATAAAGAAAGTTCCAAGAGCACCTGAGAAAAACAGTCCTTACAGAAAAGTATTCACTGAATGCAAAGATGGCTAAATTGCCTAGCTTCCCAGCAGCTAATTTACATAGGACTATTATGAGGACTTTGAAGTTGACCCTTGGAAAGTCATAAGAATTTTAACTTTTTGGTGTCTATCAGGTAATTATATATTGCCTATTTGTGGAATGAATGATAAGAATGTGAATTTTGGTCTCTTATCCTAAGATAGAAATGAGTCGCTTCTGCTTTGAGGCAGAAGAAAGACTGTGATGGAAGATAAGACAACAAAGAAGCAGAGGAGACACAGGAGCAGAGCAAAGGCTGCCATCTGCTGCTTGAAGAGAACCAAACTCAACTAAGTCCAACTGAGTAGAAGGCCCAGAACTGAAATTGCCCTCCTCTGCCCAAAAGGAACCACGCCCAGCTGAGCAGATGGCTTAGAGGAAAACATCAAACTGAGAGCTAGAGAGAAACCTAGACTCTGCATTCTCCCCCATCCTAACCCCCCTAACCTTAAACTGATGGACTGAATGGAGAAACAGAGTGTCTATATTTGTTACTTGGAGCTGATTGGATGAAGAAGAATCCTCTTTTGCTTAAAACTGACTGGGACAAAGGAGAGGCTTGTCTGCCTTGCCCTTTTCATTTTAAGCACCTATAGCTTGAAAGAAGAAAATCCTTCTGAGCCCAGCCAAGAAAGTAGATGGGAACAGCTCTGTTAGTTTGAGGCTTATGGAAATTGCTTTTGTTTAAATCAGTATAATGCAGCCTTGTAGAATAGCCAAGGAATAGTTCATGTGGAACAGCCAACGGAGAAATGGTTCCAAATTGCAGGTGACTTGAGGTGCATACTGTTCCCTAAGAAAACCAAGGATATTAAGGCCTGCATTTCACAGTACTAAGTTGTACTGAGCACATAAATTACCATGTGCTTGTGTGTTTCCCTGCTAAGTTTCTATAACTTTGTGTTTGCTCTTCCCCATGGACATGGTGTGTTTTGGTGGGAGAGTCTGTCCCAAGTTTATGGGTAGGTTAATGTTACGATTATCTTTGCTTTGCATTTTGTCTAGTAAAATCTTTTCATGATTATTAGCTAATGGTATCACCTTGGCTGATTTATATAAATAGGAAACACAATGATGGGGCCTCAAAGCTTATAGTTGTGAGTAGCAGACATGTAGCTCTTTTATACCAGAACCTGTCACCCCCTCTGTGAACACACTGATCTACCAAATTAGGTGAGTGGGTCATCTCAGAGGGGCTTTAGTACCATGCCCATGTTACATTGATATGGTCTTTCCATTATAAAACTGGAGACTATCACTGGGTCAGACCAGTAGGATTTGTTAAGGACTTGAGTTCATTCAGGCCTTACTCTGATGACTCATTGTCCTGTGGCATTACCACTAGCAGTAAAATATGGACTGGTAAATTTGATGTGCTTGTTCACAAACGTATTTAGGGCTATACATATACAAGTAGTTCTTCTGTTTGAAGAGCTATAGTAGCTTGAATCTGCACACTCGGGTAGCTCAGTACCCAAAGAGCCATAGATTTAGAGCTGAAAGGGATCTTAGAGACCATCAACTCTAACCCATTCATTTTACAAAAGGGGAAAATGAGGCCAAGGGAGATTAAGTGGCTTGCTCAAGGTCACACAGGATGTAAGTGGTGGAGACGATAAGGATTCTATTTCTAATGACACAGGCAATTTCCATATATCACCACCACCCATTAAACCATCTCTCACAGACTTGAAAGAGAGGCTTTTATTTAATGGTTATATTTTGCAGTATTTTTAGTTTCCTCACTTTCTGTATGCTCAAAAAGCAGTCTTGCTATACAGATCCTGCCTCTTTATGGCACACTGTGCTTCTGAGACCTTTGGCTAAGCTTGTATAAAATATGTGCCATTCCATATAGAACTACCAATGAGACATGAGACATCTATAGAGTCACCAAACCAGTCAACTTCCTTCCCAAAAGGACACAAAACAGGCTACTGGCAGTGTTCTTTGAAAGGAAGGTCCTTGAGCCATTTAAGATCAGCGGCTAATGCACAGAAGGAGCAAAGGGAGTCAGCAGTCCATCAGGGCAGAGGAAGCTATTAGGTATAAGGACTGGGAGAGAGAAAATCTTCTAAGAGGAAAGGGACAGGGAGGGCTCTGGCTTGTTGTGTGTGAGTCATTAATGAGACATAATCTGAGGGACACCAGGAAATAGGAAAAGGAGAAATCAAAATTGAACAAAAAAAAAGGAATTGAACTAGATGAGAAAAGTCATTTGACAAGGTGACTTTCAATAGCTGAGGACCAAAGTTAAATTTTCCCTTTCTACATTTATGGTAGTTATTAATATACAATACATACATACATACACACACATACTCCAACACCACCCCCCTCTTGTTTTGGGGGCCCAGTCTTTCTTGAAACAAGATGTCTATGCTTCAGACACAACTCTCCATCCAACCCAGCCCCTTTCCTCTTCTAGAATCTCCTATGCCTAGGACCTGCTGTGCTCCCATTCCACCTGGTTAATTGGCACCTTATTACCTATGACATCAAATGAAGGAAACCAATCAACCAGGCATGAGCAAGACCCCACCCTTCCCTATAAAAGTTTTGGTTCTGTCTTGTTTTGTTCCTTCTCTGGTAGGCTGAGTTTCTCTAGACTCTTCTCATAGGTTGACCATCCCAGTCGAGTCTAGATTTTAGTGTAGGAAATTGACTTGTGTCAATCCCCACCTAGTTTAGGGAGGGTGGGAGGAGCTGGTGTGCTACCGTGGTGGAAGAGACAAGATTTCTTACATATCATTTAGGAAGGGTAAGCAGAGAAGTGAAGCTACATGTACAAAGGACAACAAATAGCCACTTCACAGGACCATCCTTAAACCCCTTTCCTCCTCCTGCTGTGGCCTGAACACCATTGTAACAAATCTGGTTGTATCCTTCCTTGGTTGCTCCTGCCTTCCCCTTCTTTGCTCCTATCCCTGGGTGTTTGCTGAGGTGAAAATGTGTCAAATTAAAGGTCTCTTGCTTTTAGCAGCATCATTGGCTGGCAAGTCTCTCCTCTGTGAAAATCTCCAAAACTATGCAGTGGATTGGGACAGTTATCACATCTTCCCTTATTGCCCCTTCTTTTCCCTCCCTTGCTCTCAGCCATCCATAAGCTCTGTTCTTTGGAATTATTTGTATTTGTGCCTTAATTATAAATACACTCAATTCTTTGAAATGTGACATTTACAAATCATTAATGTAAAAAAAATTTTTTGGCTAAGTGTACTGAATTAACATCATGTCTTCATCAAAGAATTTTGAATTATTTCATAAATTTTACTCATTTGATTAAAGATATTAGATTCAGAGACTGTTCGAACTATAACTTCAGAGATCATCTAGGCTGACCTTCCATTTTGCTGTTGTTCAGTTGTTTCAGTCACGTTTGACTTTTTGTGACCCCATTTGGGGTTTTCTTGGCAAAGATGCTAAAGTGGTTTGCTGTTTCCTTCTCCAGCTCATTTTACAGATGAGGAAACTGAGACAAACAGGGTTAAGTGACTTGTCTAGGGTCACAAAGCTAGTAAATGTTTGAAGCTGGATTTGAATTCAGGTCTTCCTTACTTCAGGCCACCAGGCTTTCTATCCATCGTGCCACCTACCTGCCCCAGTAGGCCAAGAGGGGTTAAATTACTTCCCTAAGCAAAGAATCAAGTTTAATATCTCTTCATCTGGTGCTCTTTCCATTATTCCATTTCTTCCTTTTTGTTTTTAATCAATCACCAGGTATTTTGGGGTATCCTCATGTGCTGTTCACCAATCAAACTGCATCTACCATGAGCGATGCCTCATTAGTACTAAAGGATTGCCTCATACCCAAACTGGGCTTTAAAGCAGCAGACACTCCAATTGTAGTGCCAAGAATTTAGGCCCAACAACTGGATTCTGAGGAAAAAGCCCAAACCTGGGCTATCATAAAATTGACTCATTAATCCAAATCACTTTAAGCCAGCACACCTTTTGATCTTCCTCTTATTTGGCATATGAGAAGGGCCACTTTGTCTCTGCTGAACAGAGACATCCATTTCAGCCCAAGATCTCTGCAGAGTTCAGTTATTAAATAGGCCATAAGAGTTAACAATTTCAAAAGTTGTCTTCAGTGACTCAACATAGCAGATAAAGGAAACATTAGGGGAGAGGGAATCTCGTTTGCAAATATAGCAATCAGTACAGTAACGGAATAAAATCAATAGGAGTCAAACATTAGCTGGCATTTCTGGAAGGTCAATAATTGGCCGTATGTAAGTTTGCTAACAAGTGTGCTTTTGAAAGGAATTTTACAATGAAGAAAGTCACATACCTTCATTTTCTACCTAAATAATAAGCAGGTTATTTGCACATTCTAGATGATATCTTTTCCCTGTATCTGTTCCCTCGCTGTTGTTTCAAGAAATATTTATTGTGGGACCCTCTGTGTCTAGCAGTATGCTGAGCTCTGTGGGGGATTGTGTTTATTCTTTCTAGTGACTCAGAAATACACTCCAATTCTATAAGCATTTATTAAGCACTACTATGTACCAGATGCTGTGATAAGCTGGGGATACAAAGATGAAAATGAAAACAAAACAATCTCTGCCCTCAAGGAGCTTACATCCTACAAGAAACCATCCATTGATGGCAATGGATAAAAGGCAAAGTTGAGAAAATTCTGGCTCTCAGAGAACATACATGTTACGAGCCCACCATTTCAGAAATTACTTTGGCACCCAAGAACGAGGAGGGGGGGACACTGATGTGAGCATAACTTGGTGTTGTCCATCCTCAGCAGATAATGTGATGCTTGACGTGCTCTTCCCTGAACAGATGGATTGCCCAACAGTAGCTATTTAGTGTGATAATGGCGTTTGATAGACGGGACACAAACACCATTGTCACACTCCATAGCTCTGGCTGGAGATAACGCACAGCCTGACAGATGTCAGCTGCACCTCTGCATGCCAGCACTGCCACACAGGCCCACCAAAAAGGAACTCTCCAGACCCTTATGTGTTACCCTGAAAGGAAGAGAAGAGATCAGGCACCTTGACAAACTTTGCAAGAAATGGAAAGACAAGCTGAAGAAAGCCATATCCAAAGGCAGGAGATACTCCTCACCCTGTTCAAATTGAAAATACCTAGGGGACAGTAGCCATTTGATGCACATGGGCACTAGCAAATCTGCCCTTTGCCCTGCATTTGTAGGATCACAAGATCATATATCTAGAACTAGAAAAGACCTCAGAGGCCATTAATCCAAGCTCCTCATTTTACAGAGGAAGAAACTGAGGCTGAGGAAGGGAAGTGACTCACCTTGAAAGTCACACAGGTAATAAGGAACAGAGGAAGGATTTGACCTCATATTCTCTGACTCCAGAGCTAGTACCTCTTCATGTTACATATTTTTTGTCCTACTAGATAGCACTTATTAAAATATGTGGAGATTTCTTAAGGAAATGAAATGTGTAATGAGTCCATTCTAATATTTGCTTTCATGTCTTATTTTTTTAAGGCTGAGAAAATAAAACGTCTACAGTGGGGGCATAACACATGTGAAACCAGACTTTGACAAACAAAAATATTTTGTGGGAATGCATATAATAATAAGCAAGTATAAAAATATGAAAAGTCTTTCTCTTTTCTCCCACCTCCCCCTTTCCTGTTAATTCCTAGCATATCATTTGTGCCTCCTTAAAGGCTATGACTTAATTTGGTGAGTGGTATTTTCTTCCCCAGGAAGAAAACTCACTTCTGTTAGGGAACAGCATTTTGACATGTTATAATCACATATCAATACCATGACATTGGTTGCCTAAGAACCAGGCTCTGTTTGGATTTTAAATCTCAGTCAACCATAGTAGTGGAAGGGAAGAGGAGTGGAATTAAGGAGACAGGAGGTAAGTGTAGTGAGAAGGACTCATTCATTTTGGAGGCAATAGCATTTAGTTTTTAGCCAAAAGGAGACCTATCTGTGAAGGAGCCCTGCTCTGGATTTGCACTGGTTTCCTGTTTGAATTACTTTTTGAATGGTACCATAAACTCCTTCCCACAGTAGAAAAACAAAACAAAACAAAACAAAACAGGAAGCTAAGTATTTTACTTCATTGATTTTCTTTTGTCCTATGCAGTAAAAAGAGGGAGGTTGGGACCAGTTTCATGTTTCCCAGAATAGCCTCTTTTTCCAAATACAACCAGAAATACTTCATAAACCTAATGTTGTCATATCCTTGAGCACCTAAAACCAATTTTCTTTGTATTTCCTAAAGACAATCCAGTCTCCTGGCTCCCAGTAAATGAAATCAGTATCCTTGACAAAGACAACCAGGCTCTGAAAGGATTAGTATATTTTTAAAAACCATTTTTATCATGCTCAGATTGGGGGAGTTGGCTTCTGCCAGTTGTTTATCTTCTTATTTTGTTTATCCTTTCAATAGGATGACTCATTTCCCTTTGGAACATGACTTTGGTCCATAGTGTATATAGGGACAAAGATGTCTCATAACTATCGGCCAAATAGGCAGCTGCCTCTGTAGTGTGATTTGAAGGATACTAGAAAAGCCCCTCCTAGCCCCTTTCTTACCTCAAATATATCTTCATAGGCTAGAGATTAGTAACTGAAATTATTCTACCACTCGATTCTTTTTGTCTCTTTGTTAAGCTCCAAATATTCCTGGGAAGGAGCAAATAAATATACAGTCTATAATCAGTCATTGGTAGTCTAGCATGAATTAGTTGAAGAAATCCTCTCCAGTAAGCCAAGTTGTTTTCTGTCAATGGGCCTGCAACTACTGAAAGTCTAAACATCAAGATGGCTATTGGGCCCCAGCTTCAGTGAGCAAAGATATAGCCTGTACTCTCACTATTTCTTATTCTTACCCTCTAGAAATTTCTGGACCCTTATTAGTGGCATCCAATTCTGAGCTTCCTTAAAACTTGCCCAGACTGAGTTCTACGTCTTTCCTATTGCCATAGTAATATCTCAGCATTCACATGGATGGATGCAAGCATAACTGTGATGGCTCATGTACCTTTCACATAGTTCAGTTGCATTCAACACATTTAACAAACACATAAGTGCCTAATCCATTATGACTGGGGTTTTATATATGTTTTTATATCCCCAGGGGACCTAGAACAAAACCCCTCACACATTTTAGTATATGAAATGAAAGCACTTTGAAGACAGGGACAGTGGGATTTTTCATTTTTGTATGTCTAGGAAACAGCATGGTATCTTTGCACACAGGAGATGGTTAGCAAGTATTTGTTGGTGCTGAACGACACTATACCACTTAGTACGATTTCTTAGGTATAGTTTTTCTCATGCAACTTTTCAGGATTTACAGTAAATGTAATTGAACCTGGGAATTGTGGAAAAGAAGCTGAAAGACGGTGAACTGCCTGTTAGGTAAGAGTGTTGGTGGTTACTTGAAGATCAATGTACTGAGTGGAGATTGGTGGCTACCTTTCATTGTTTGAGGCCATAGTGGAGGTGTAGACCTCTCCACTCTTCCAGCTGGGTGGCAGTTATCACTTGTTAAGAATCCTGCAGAGAAAGAAGAGATGAGGAGGAGAGCATTTAATAAGTGCTGTACCAAGCATTGCACTAAGTATTGGAATTACAAATACAAGCAAACAAAGCAATCCTTACCCACAAAGAGCTTGCAAGGGAGGTGAGATAAGAACTAAGACAGAAAATTAATGTGATGTTCACACCATCTTTTCTTCTTCAATCCCCACCACCCTTTCAATTTCCTATTTCTTTACTGAAACACAAAATGAGGAGTTCTCAACCATGCTGCCCACCCTGGACCTCTCATTTTTTTCTCCACACCTTCCCGAAGCAGAGATCCAAAAGGCTCTGCTCAGAGAGAGGACAAAGGTCATTCTTCCACCAACAAGCACGAAAAAGTATCATCTTGGCAAAGAAGTTGTCTTCAGGGTAACTTCTCCACAGTCTTTCAGCTGGGTCAATTTCTGATTGTCCTGCCTAATTACATCAACTCACAAAGATTGTCAGTGATGAACTCAGCACTTTAAACTTAGCTATTTTTTATTTTGCCACTATCTCAAATGATCATTATTTTTTATTATTAATAGTTACTAATAATAATGATAGCAACAACTGCTTTCGATGTAGTGTTTTAAGGTTTGCAAAACACTTTACAAGTTATTTCATTTGATCCTTGCAACCATTGCAGGGTGGGGGTTGTTACTATAGGTATTAAGGCAAGTAGTATAGTGAACAAAAGATTGGATTTAGAGGAAGGAAAGAACTATGTTAGAACTCCACCCTTAAAACATACTAAACTACATGACCAGGAGAAAGTCACTTTGCTGCTTAACTCTCAGTTTTTTCATCTATACAATGTGAATAATAATAGTTCCAGTACTTATCTCACTGGGCTGTGTAAGAAGATCAAATGAGAATACAAAGTGTAAGTCCCCATAGAATGTAAGTTCTCTGAAGGCTGGGACTGTTTTTGGTTTTTCTTTGCACCCCCAGGGCCTTAAAGCGGTGTTGGACACTAGTAAGTGTTTATTAAATGCTTGTGTGTGAAAGTGTATGTGTGTGCATATATATGTATATGTGTATGTGTACATCTATGTATACATATATATGTGTATATGTATATGGAGAGAGAGAATGAGAGAGCAAGAGAAAACATTAAACTCCAATCAGTTTCTAATCCAGTTCATTGAAAGGATTCAGTCATTCAGTTGACTCATAATGTGATGATATTTATCCTTTTTTTCTATATAACCTCATTATGTCTGAGGAAGATTTTCAAAGTTTGAAATTACAGTAGGGTCATTTGTTAGACTTTTCAGACATGCACATGCAAATACACCTACACATATACATACATGCACACACATTTTCAGAAATATATGTATATAAAGCTACTTAAAGGTATGCTTTCATTAATTACATTATTATTTCTGGTATAGAGCCAGGTGAAGGTCTTCAGCTTGCAAAGTAATTTAAATAATCAAATAGTTTATTTAAAAAATTGCTACCCATTAATTTAACACAATTAGGGAACTCCTCTACCAAAGTCTTACTCTGCTCTTAGCTGGAGATGACACTGGGCTCTTGAAGGCTGCTTCCCTAGAGTATCAGCTCTGGCAAGGTCTCCTGTGCTGGAAATGCTATGAACACTGGCCCATTAAAGGCCTATGCATGCGTCAGCAGAAAACCAACTTTGCTAAGGACAGAAAGAGTCCAGATCAGAAAGCTGGCTATCAGGTGATAAATCTGTTAAGTCTCAGCAATATATGAAGATCATCTACTCTAAGATGAGAAGAAATTTGTGATCAGGGTCAATGGAAGGAATCGTGATGGAGACCATAGCTCCTTGAATGGAACTAAAACATGCCATGAAGAAAACTACTACCTTAATCTGTCTTTAATTCATTGAAATTTTTTTTGCCCTCAGTATATGGAAAATTAGCAAACCAATTTAAAATGGATATCCCTGGAAAGGGGTATGGTATAGATGAAAAGAACACTAAGTTAGGAATCAAGAGAGATGGCCTTGAGTCCTGAATCCATGCTTATGTGCTGCATGAGTTTAGGCAGATCCCTTAGCCCACGGGTGGGGAACCTTTGGCCTTGAGGCCATATGTGGTCCTCTAGGTCCTCAAATGCAGCCCTCTGACTGAATACAAACCTCACAGAACAAATAAATCCCCTTAAGGAAAGGATTTGTTCTGTAAAACTTGGACTCGGTCAAAAAGCCGCACCCAAGGATCTAGAAGGTCACAAGTGGCCTCAAGACTGAAGATTCCCCACCCCTGCCTTAGCCTCTTTGGGCCTCAATTTCTTGTAATGAAATGGTCGTCTTAGATGAACTCTAAGGCTCCTTCTAGCTCAAAAAACCAATGATACAATCTACGATCCCTGAGGATGTTTTGATTTTGTCAGGGTAAAGAATTCTCCACCATGCAGACTGAAACCCACTTGGGACTTAGTAGATAAATATACTCCTACAATAAAACCAATTAATATTAGCCAGTATTTCTATAGGGCTCTCCTCATGATAACCCTGGGAGACAGGTTGTTACTATTAACCCAGGTCTCTTGACTTAGGCCTTGGGCTCTTTCTACTACACCAAAGCTCATGAGATCTCTTGCTATGGTTCTCCAAGGCAATCACCAATCCAAGGACTAACAGGAGTTCTTTTCAGTAAATCATCAGCTGAATGGCAGATACTTTAGAGGGAAAGGCTGTTTGCCTGGTGATTCTTGGGGGCCAATTTCATTTCTACACTGATACCCAGCTGTTCTTAAGTACCATCCACAGAACAATTAAAGGTCAGAGAGGGAGAAGAGAAGAGGAATATCTGTGGAAGTTGGTATTTTATAAAATCAAAGTGATATAGTATAAGGGGAGCCCTGGGTGTTGGATTTGCCTCTTTCTTTTATGGGCTTCAACTATTTGTTTATTCATTCTTTTATTATTTTGCCTGTTTGTTTCAAGGCCTCAGTGCCATTGTTAAATTTGGGCTAGTGAAACATTAACTGATCCTAGTTCTTAGACTCCAGGCAGTTGGCTTTGCCTGGCTTCTTTGCTTCTTTTACCTTCCTAGAGAGGGCAACACCAGGTCTTCAGACTCTGCTGAAAGTTCAATCATTTTAGCAGAAAGATGAACACATTTCCTACAACCCCAGATGCTACTCAGTTTTCGTCTTCAGTCCTTCGAAATGTTAGTCAGCTCTGCCTGTCCAAAGTGCTCTATATCAGCGCCTGCCCAAAGCAAAGTCTGGTTTACTTCAGGGGACTGAAGAGGATCTAAGGAGACACTTACCACCTCCAAGAGTGGCTGCGTGGTGGGGAGCTTCTCCTTTGCAGTGTCTGTCCCAAGTTCTCATCTGAATGGTGACCAGGCCTTGTCGCACCCTGTATCTCTCTTAGTGCTAGCTGCACCCTCTCTCAGGAGCCTTCTCCTTGCTTACCTTTCTGCAGCTCAAAGGCAAAAACAGGGCCCTCTGGAGCATCTGTTCCCCTGAGCCTTTCCCCCTCTCCCTTTATGGGATCCAGGGTTTTAAAGTAAACACTTCTTTCTCTTTCTGATAAGTCACATTAAATTATTGATTTGGGGGAGGGGGAGGTTGACCTCAGGCCACTAAGTTAGAGTCACCTTTGGCCAAACACAGCAAGCACAAATGGGAAATCCTGGCTTGATTTTTTTCCCCACCTCCAGCTTGTGGGAGGACACAGGCTTGATGTGCAGTAAGGGTGGTAGAGCCTGAGAGCTACAAAGCTGGGTTTGAGAAGAACATAGGCAATAACCCTGGCAGCAACTCAGTGCTTTCTCTGAAACCTGGGCAAGCCTATTTAACTCTTTCCACACCAAACATCAGCTTAGCAGCTTACCACTGTTCTTTTTCTACCTATCTCAGTGCACTTTTAAAATTGAAACTCCCTAAAGAGGCTTCTGTCTAAATGTAGGAAGTTTGTAAAGACATAGCCTAGGCTGGAAAGGGGAAACGAGTCACTGTGTCTTCTCCAGATTTCCAAAACAAAACAAAATAAAATAAAACAAACAAAAAATGAGCCAAGTGTATTAGTCTATTAAATTATTTTTCTCTGGCTCTACCTAGTTCAAGTCCCCAAGCAATGCTTTTAAAGTGATTTCGTCTATTGTTATAAATTAAATTACAGTCACTAGCCCTCAGTCTATATTTTAAGGGAACTGCAGGGGTGAGGGTGGTCCAGACCTTGGGTCTCATCCATCTAGGGAACTCCTGGTGTGAAAATTCTGTCCACCAATTTAGATCAACAAGTAATTTGTAACTTAAGAGTCTTAGGAAGCTAGGAAGAGGGAAGGGGGAAATAGTGAAAGGTGAAATAGCAACCTATATGTGTCAAAAAGAACTGGAATCTAGGTCTTCCTGACTCCAACGGCCTTTCATCTACTACACTTTACTGCCTATCACTAATTAATTTATTATGAGTTTCTTTAATTAATAAATTTATTTATTTTTAGTTTTCAACAATCACTTCCATAAGATTTTGAGTTCCAAATTTTCTCCTCATCTCTCCTTTCCTCCCACTCCAAGATGGTGTGCAAATTGATATAGGCTCACCATACACATTTATACTGAGCCTATTTTCATATTAGTCATGTTGTAAGGAAGAATTAGAACCAATGGGAGAAATTGCAAGAAAGAAGAAACAAAAAAAGAGAGAGAAGGAATATACTTTGATCTGCATTCAGACTCCATAGTTCTTTCTCTGGATGTGGACAGCATTTTTCATTATAAGTCTTTTGGAGTTGTCTTAGATCCTTGTATTATGACTTTTTAATCTTCCTGTGATTTGAGAGGTATTTTTCCTTCTCTGTGAGGAGTAAGTTAATTTGGCAATAAGTGTAACTCATTTTCTTAAGCTCCAATAGGAAAAAAAAGTCTAAATATTCACCACAAACATTTGTAGATTCTAAAAGTTGTGTTATCATGACTCTAAAAGCCCACTGTGAACAATAGACCTATTAAAATCTGAACTTAGTGTTGTCTTCTTCCTTTGCTCATAATTACTACAATGGCACTACTGAGTAGAAAGGAGAAAGGGGGAAAGGGGTTCTTTCTGGCTTTGTTTTGTTTTTATAAATGGCCTTGAGGCATGGCCACAAGTTGCCACTATACTTTTCCTACTTGTCTTAAGGAACTTTTAAAATAGAGGCCCCCAAAGACAGCTTCTAAGTAAAGTATAGGGAGTTTGTACAGAGATTGCCCAGACAGGAAGCAGAATATTAGACCCTGTAGAATCCATTTCTCTTTGGTTTCCCAATGACAACTTGGTTTACCTCCTTATCTGAGGAAAAAGTGGGCTGTCCAGAATCACCCAGACTGTCTACAAAAGGACTATGTGATTGGAGGTGGTAATTTAAGAGCAAAATATTTTTGCCATAAAAGTCTAATTTGTCGTCCTGAGAGGGGACCATATAAAGCGTTCTCCCAGAAAGTCTTCCCTACTCTACTCTCAAAGGAAACCTCCAAACCCGTGTTATTTTGTCTAAGGGGGACAGAGAAAGCTCAACTTAAAAAAGACAAAAACACAAACACAAACACAAACAAAATGGAATTTCATTAGCATTGTCTTGCACTGTATGTGGTAAATTGATTTGTACTCACTAATTTTTAATTTGCTTCACCCACCTGGCTTGGTTACAGTAATCATTAGTTAAAACCCTTTAGGAAAAATCGAAAAGGTTTGCCAAGTGAGTTTCCCCAGGCAGATATTCTTACAAGACATAAGTAGATTCCTCCCACCTTCAGTTCTCAGCAGGATGCACATCTGGAACACTTTTTCCCAACATTTCTCACTGGGTGAAACCTGAATGTTGTTCCACCAAGTCATTTTCTCTTCAGTTATAAAACCACAACTAGGGGAAATATTCATCTTTAAGTTAGGGGTTAATTTCTTTAAAATTTCCAGTGGTACTGCCTCTCAATGACTTGGATATGTCAGAAGTATGATTCACTTGCACTTCCCCTGTCTTCCAACTCCTTTCTGTCCCAATTGCCTTTAAGGTTTCTTTTTCCTTAGAAAGAAAAGGGGAACAACCTCAAGAGATCATTTTGACTCTCTGAAGTCAAAGTTTCATTTGACTATCTGGAAATCACCCCAAATTCAGAGAGAAGTTCCAGAATTATGTGTAACAAGTGTTGAAAAGAGAAACTAAGCAAATTTCCCCTCACCCTGAGGAGCAGACATCCAGAATCCTCTCCCCTCCTGGAGTAAGAGTACGGAAGGGTTTCCATGGTTCTCCCCTATTCCCAGTGAGAAGCTACCTACATGCCTTTGGAAATAACTTAGGAATAGGAATCCTTGCACTTGGGATCACTAGATTTAAGAGGGGCAACCTTTTACATCGGGAGAGGGCTCTGAATCCTATAATGCATGGGATTGGGAATTCTGGAGCCGTGTGGGGTGGAGAAGGTGTTGGTGCCTTGTTGGTTTAAATAGCTAATGGCTAGCCCTTCTATAGCCTTTAAGGTTTGCAATCTTACTTGATCCTCACAAGCCTCAGAGTTGTGCTATGATTACCACAGATACGAGTTGTTTTTTCATTGAGTCTCAGTCCAGACGTCCAAGACCTCGTTGCCCGGCTGTAGCATTTCTGTTGCTGGAGCAGAGGGTCAACCTCACCGATGTCATGACCCTCCAAAGACTCCTAGACTGGCCAAGGAAACCTCTGCCCCTGATCCACCCAAGAGATCAGCCAAATGCAGCGGTCCTAGGGAAACCTGTGGGCTCTTCATGAAATGTGCCACTTGGCAAGACTTTAAGGCTCCATAGCAAAATGCCCCAGTAACCTCTAAGTGCCCCTTGGCCCTGGGTGAGGCAGCAGCCTCAGCCTCCCCATGAGGAACTCTGATCTGGGCATGGTCAGCTGGGACAAATTAGCAGAAGAGGCTGCCCAGTCTCATACCCCCTGCTTCCAGTTAGCCTCCGAGGCTGAAGAAGAACCTGCCAAGGAATCTAAGGCCCTTGAAGAGACTTGTCCCCCGACCAGGTCAGAAGTCCAGACCTTGTTAAAAAGCCTGACACAGCTGAAGGAGAAAGGGACCCAGTGGTTTTATGTGTGTATTTGGCTGAAAGCAAGTTAGCAGTTATGCCTATCCCTTCCTGAGGTTAGGCGGCTCCCAAAGTGTAAGAGTTGTTCCAAGAGTTACAACTTGTTAGAAAGAGTTAAGACCCCAAAAGACTCCCAACACCTTGGCCATACAACCTTGTTAGATTAAGTTTTCTTTGCCTGGAAAGCAGCCCACCCCTCTTCTGTAGCATGTATAGCCAGAACAGAGTGGCACAGCCCCAGGAGGACATTTGATGTCAATATCTGTTTCCAGCACCCAGGAAGATGAGGAAGATGACACAAGATGAAGAGTGGGTGCTTACACCAGATACTATGGCCACTATCACAGCATGACAACCATTGACTGTCATAGGGGAACCCCTGTGCCAACCGATTGAGGTCCCTGGACCATTATGGGGCCCAATCACCAAACACCTGACCACATTCCATTAGGGGAAGTGAATAGAAACATTGCATTGTGACCTGGCCCTGCAGAATGAGTGGTCAGGGAAGGAAAAGACCTCCTGGAGATACTCTCTACTCATAATGTTTCTCTGTTTTATGGTGGAGGCATGCCCTTGGACAATGGAAATAACAGCTTTCCTCTACTCTGCCCCACCGAAGGCTATAACATGGACCAGGACTACTTTACCTCCACCTAAGTGAGTATGTTTCTGTTGCTACCTCCTTATCTTATGCCTGTGCTTAATTGGTGAAGGATTGAAATGGGTAGAAAGTGATCTATTGAGGGGAGCAAAGCAGGAACAAGCTGTCTGAGGCCTCACTGCCTGAGGCTAACCCTGCTGGGGTGACAAGGGGGTGACAACAATATGTGGGCACTGCCAGGACCACAGAGGCAGCCCAGCTAAGACATTGGGGTGGTGCCATTCACTCTCTCCTCACCCACTTTGTTTATATCTTCCACCTTGCTCACTTCCACTCCTTCCCCACCAGAAAACATCAGCCGTGCCACTTCAGCCAGTTAGATCCAATGCTGAGAAAGTGCTAAACCAAATCTATACATGCCCTTTTGTATAACCACCTCTGCCAAGGCATGCACAGACTCTTGCAGCATGCTGACAGCTTTCATGAGAACTTCTTGACTTCCCCCTTTCAAAAAGAAGACTTTTGCCTTGTTTGGGCAGCCTGCACCAATATCTGGGATTCCCTTCCAGGGGAGCCCGGTGCCCACCTAACCTTGTGAACAGTAGATACAGGGCCTCTGTCCAGGGAATTTAACCCTGCCAACAATAATGGGAACATACATACCCGATCTTGCCAGGTAAGAATAGAAGGGGACAAGGCCTGCTCCAAGCTAAATGTGTGCAGGTCCAGTGAGGAAACCACAACTGACTGGCTTTAGATGCTCTTACAGGTATCACCAGAATGTTTTTGCACCATTTACGCCACATGCACCCA